CTTTGAGTGAACTAGAAAATGATATGCAGCAAAGAAAAACAGAATGGATATGATGAGCCTCTTTGTGTTCAATTTGCAATGCAGTAATTAAATATCTTTCTCTGGGCCTGAAGTTCACACCCTTCTATACATTAAAGAAGTAGGTAGATTTGTTCCTGGGTTGGAAGATTTTTCAGTGGTGCTATGGGTAAAATTGTTAACTTATTCTGGCTATAATGCTCAATATTTTGAATATGGATTTCTAGGATGGCTCCATGCATCTGAAATGATGCTCAAATTAGTTACATGGGCATGATTTTTCTATTTGAACCTTTCAATCATGAAGAATTTGACTGAGGAGGCAAGGAAGGAGAATACTAAAAATCCTGTCTCCAACTTGTAATGTATTTTGGCTGTGTTAATACACAAAGCCCTGATTTATTTAATATAGTTTACTAGATAAACTATAATTGTCTGGTTTGACACAGCTCATTAACTTACAAACAATTAATTCTGATGAACCCAGTACTTATGTAGAAAGTTGTATTGGAAACTATGGTTTTGATCTTTGTTTCTTTTTCCCAGCATTTCTTTCTTTCTCCCTGGTAGCATTTCTTACTTTAAGAAGTTACACCATAGTTAAAGAACATGTATGTAGAGAACTTATGAATTCTAGTGGCAAAGGGACCCTGGTTAGTATGAAACATGGGTTCAGATACAGCCATGGAGAAAATTTCTGGGAAGATTCAAACTAATCAAGGAGAGAAGCAACTTAGAACTAAGGAGAAATTTCCTGACAGTTAGAACAATTAATCATTGGAACAACTTGCCTCCAGAAGTTGTAAATGCTCCAGCACTGGAAGTTTTTAAGAAGATGTTGGATAACCATTTATCTGAAGTGGTGTAGGGTTTCTTGCCTAAGCAGGGGGTTGGACTAGAAGATCTCCAAGGTCCCTTCCAACTCTGTTTTTCTATTCTATTAAAGCTGAGCTGAGGGATAATCAGTCTAAATCAAGAGTACAAAATGGAAATAGTGTTTGCCCTGAGATGAAGAACCTGTTCAAAGGTGTTGCAAAACAGAGATAGGTTCAGTATCCCTAACATTTCCAGCTATTATCTAACATCTTTTTTTTTAATTCTTATCACTGAGCCACTTGCTATTGATTTGCCATTTAAATTATAGATTATGGAACATTCCTTTCTTATCAACAAGAACATTTGCTAGGTCATATCTTGGTCTCCAAATAAAAGGATGGTTCACTGGTTCATCACTTTTAATGCGACTGGCATATGGCATAGACTTTATTAGAGTTGAGTTTTTATTGCTTTATTCAATGAAGAAACACAGAGCTCATTAATAAACCTGCAGCTATTTTACTCTAAGTGCATTTTCTTATCAGGCTGCAGGAGCCTGCATTACTGCTTATTTAGCATTTAGAGCATTTTATTGAAAGAAAGCATTATTAAAGAAAAGCATTAAAAGATAATGTAAAAACAAATCCATTTACAGTATACCTGGCTACCAATGTTGATCAGACTGGACTGGAGTTGGTGTGGGCGGGGAGAGAGCACGCTTCTTTACCAACTGTATATTTCAGGTTACAGAAATAGTTAAATAACATCAATATTAAAAGAATTTTCTACATAATCTGGTCTTTCTGTTGTCTTAAGTAAAGATAAGTTCTGTTTTCTGTGCCTTGCTGTCTCCCAGTGACAGAGAAAGAAAAAGTACTCAACTGCAAGTAACTACTGTTTCAGAATAACTTATTTATTTAATTTCCCCTCTTCCCACATCTTTCCCCCTTTTCTCTTCCCCTATCTTTGAACCTCTAGATCTGTTGAACTTGGTACCTCTCATTATTCTTCAATAAATACAGGTCATGCTGGCTGGGAATTATTGGAGTTGTAGTCCTAACATATTTGGGAGGCTCAGGATTGAAGACATTGTAGCCAGAGGCATCTGCAGAAGGAATTAAAAAAATTAAACTAGTGACCATGATCACATGCTTGTGCTCAAGACACAGATGTGAAAAAAGGGACAAGACTTTGATCTCACATTTGTGATTAACATCTTGAGTTTTTGAACTTCTTTGTGGACATCTCTACGTGCTATTTTTTATGACTCAGATTCTTTGGCTGAATGACAATATAAAAACTTAGCTTATCCAGTACAAATTTTTATAATGATTATATGTTCAAAATATTATTTCAAAATCCAAGAAATGTGATGAAGGAGTTACGTTATTTCTGCTGATAGTCTTAACTAGGTGTAGGTTAAATTCAATCTTTCTATGACATGCCCAATGAAATATGTGATTCTATGCCTCCATTTTTAATATGATTGTAGTCTTTTGACTGATATACATTTCTTTAACAACAGCAATTTTTCAGGATTAATAATTTTTAACATGCCCAATACAGCTATTTCAGACACTGATAGGGACAACTCAAAAGCTAATAAATGTATTCTCCAAAATTCCCCTTGTTCTTCCTTTCTCTCTCTCATCCAACTGATTGGAATGTCACATCAAAATGTCAGACTTTTGTATCTTGAAGTCTTTAGATGGGATCAGTTCTCTCACCCTCCATTAATCTTGGGTGTATGTATGCATGTTTGAAATATCAGAAAGGATGCCTAGAATGCAGTTGGAGAGCACATCTAATACCCGACACTAGGGATAAGGTGGTAAAACATTATTTATCCAGTTTTATCACCCCTAATCAAACATGGGCGTTTTTTGGGTGACCACTCTCTATTGGACAGGGATGAGTCTTAGGACCATCTATCGGGCAGCTATGTGAAGTGCCTCAGGACTTGATGCAGTCATCTTTCCTGTTTAACATGTGCATGAGATTTTGGGGGGAGGTCATCTGCCAGTGTGTGGAGTCAGGTCTCATCAGTGTGTTGATGTTACTTGGTTGTACATCTTGACAACTGACTGGTCAAACAAAGCATTGGGGATCTTATCCTAGTGCCTGGAAGCTGATGAGGTCTGGATGGGGACAAATAAGGTCAGGTTCGTGCAGCAAGATCAAGTGACTATCGGTATTTGGTTCTTCTGGTGTTGGAGATATTGCATGTTTGCCCTGTGGTTGCATATGTCGCTTATGGGTACATAATCTGTATATTATGTAGCAGGAATTGGGTATACCTAGCTTAATGAAAAGAAGGACTAAGGGGTAGTGTTAATGATAGCTGTGTTCCAATATCTAAGGGGCTGCCTCAAAGAGGGATCAGCTTATGATCCAAAGCATCTGAAGGCAGACCAAAAAGCAATGGATGGAAACTAATCAAGGAGAGAAGCAACCTAGAACTAAGGAGAAACTTCCTGACAGTTAGAACAATTAATCATTGGAATGACTTGCCTCCAGAAGTTGTGGGTGCCCCAACACTGGAGGTTTCTAAGAAGAGATTGGACAACCATTTGTCTGAAATGGTATAAGATTTCCTGATTGAACAAATGTTTGGATTAGAAAAATTCTAAGGTGCCTTCCAACTCTGTTATTTTATTATTCTGTTGTTTAAATAGCAGGTGTCAGCTGTGGCCAGGAAGGTCTTTGCAAAGGTTCAATTGGTGTGCCATTCATGCTTGTTCCTGATTCAAGAGGCCATCCATACCATAACTCTGGTCTGTTCCGATCACTCCACAGTTGCTCATAGATGCTTTACCTGGGCTGTCCTTTTAAACCACTCAGAAATCACAGCTAATCTAGAATGCAGCAGCCTGAGAAGCAAAGGCTAAACTGATGATGTAACACCCTTGCTACATGAACTTACCAGTTGGCATCTGGGTACAATTCAAGGTGATGGTTATTACCTATAAATAGCATTGGGCTCGGCTAATTAAAGTACTACCTGTTTCATAGTTTCACACTCTGCTGACCTGCTTCGGATCCTGTCAATTAAGCAATACCATTTAGTATGACTGAAGAAGTGGGCCTTTTCTGTAACAACAACATGTTCCTCAACTCATTTGCCATTAGGTTACCTTTAAAAAGCTCCCCCATTATCCCAGGCCTTAAATTGGTATGTTGGGCTGTTCCCCTTTGAGATTATCTTGTCCTTTGGACATAGTTTGTGTTTTGTATAATGTTATTTATGTTAACTTTTGAAGCCATTCAGAGTCACTCTGGAGCTGGCTGACCTAGAAATTCAACAAATACATCCCAGAATTTGGGAGCTGATTCTTGTAACAATAGCTGGCATATTTTTATTTATTTATAAGAAAAGTAAATATTAATTATCTCACCTCTAAGTATTATAATACCAAACACATTTTTCACTCTCCTGATTTTGTTCATTAACACAGTTTGCCCACCCGAAAACAATTGTTATAAATGATGCTGAAGAAAATAAGATTATTGTATTTTCATAAGTCTTCTTTAGCTTGTAAGTATTGGTGCCTGAATATGGACAATTTCTTCACCATGATGAAGGTAGATTAATTTAAATATGTACCCTTCATGTTTCCTAAGGAATTCTGTACATTTATTGTGAACACCTTTCAGAAGAGTCCACTTGGGAAAGATTGACTCAAGCAATGCATTAACAAATCTCACACCCACATATAAATATACCAACTGTTGATTTCTTGCATTATAGTAGAGCAAGGTGACTTATTTTATTAATTGCAAATTCATGTACTGAGAACAGCCACCGAAGTTGCTATAAATGCTGTTTCTATTATAATAGTTTCTCCATTCCAATTAGCTCTCCATGTCTTTGTTCAGCAATTAGACTAATGCATCTAATATCTCTCATCTAATTTGTCTTGGGAGTTGCTTTGGTGTTTGTGTTGCTTTACAAATGGTAAGACCACACAGTCTGGGCTCTGCTAACACATTATGTTGTATTATGTATAATGTACGATTAGACAAATGTAAATTTTAACATTACATCACATACATGTGGCTGTTGTAATTACAACATGCCATCCAAAAATCTTTATTGGACAAAACAATTTTGCTTAAATAAAAAAATTGTTATTTATTTTTAAAGTTTCTCATAATTTATTCTCTTAAATTATATCTGATAAAAGCTTTAATACTTTATAAATACCTGTAAAGAAAATATAATGTTCATTTTCTTTGACATAAAACATTTTTGTCTTTCATTTTACATTTTCACAAACACATATTGGCACCAAGAAAAGACTTAACCAAAATAACTTAGCATTCTTAGGATTCAGTATAGGTTGGAAACATTCACATTAATAGAATTTGCACAAGATAATTTAGATTTCATTTAATTTTGGCTACAATATGGATACTGACTGTAAACAAAGAATAAAGTATAATTCGTGTCTATAAAGGAGCAGGACAACAATATACTACACTAACAACTGCTCTTATTGAATGACAATTTACACTATAATAATGCTACGGCTGTTCCCTCTGGACAGAAATTTGTAAAATTCACAGTTTAAGTTAGAAATGAGAATTCAAATCCTGACTGGGTCCACACATTGCATTAAGCTATGGAGTATTTTAACAACTTTTAGAACCACATAGCATAAAACCAAAAGAAAAAAGACATGTATGACTCCAGCCAAAGTGACATGTGCAACATATATTTCCTTTTTGACTATTTAATAAAGGAAGTACCCTATAATTTGTTGTGTGTTTCTCATAAAATCATAGGCTGGAAGGTATCAAGTCTTCTAGTCCAACCTCTGCTTACGGGAGGAAGTCTTATATTACACAAGACAAATGCATAAGCATAATGCACCAGGCATAAGCACACCAGCGTGCCTACTGTCCCTGTCCTATTGTCCCCATTTCCTGTGTTCACGTCCATGTTCATACTTATAACTGTTATCTCGTACATGTTTGACAAACTAAATAAAAATAAATAAAATGATTGTTTGACTTTGTTTGAAGACTTCCGGGATCAGAGGCAAGTTAACTATTCTCACAATCAGGATATTCCTCCTAATGTTAAGTTTAAATCTCTTTCTCTATAAAACTTCCATCCATTGCTTCTTGTCCTACCCTTTGTCATTGTGGAGAATAAAAGCACATCTTCTTCTTTCTGCTAGCCTTGTATGAGCACATCTTGAATTCTATTCCTGCTTTCTCTTTAGATGATTCTCTCTCTGAACTTTCTGCTACTCTTATTGCAAATACAGAATATTGGTGAAAAATACTAATGAAATTTATTCAGTGTAAAAACAATACCATGTTCACGTTAAGGGGGAAAAGGATAATTATGATTCTTATTATAATTCTGTTCCTTTAATAGAATTTATGAAATTCATAAAAAACCTCTTCCCAAAATATCAAAATGTTAAAAAAACCACCAAGATTGCCTTCCCTGCAAGAAATGGTTAGCAGCAGGTAAGAAGTGTGTCTGATTTAACCTGTTCTTGGCTGCTATCCTTTCCATGCTGATCATGCTGGACTATTTAGACCATGATCAGAATGGAAACTGATGTCTTTCCATGCAAGTGATGAAGAGATGATGTCCCCGTTGCTCCATTTTTGTACTTGGAAGCTCATGACTAGTAAACTAAATGGAAAATAAGCTTTTCCCAAATGAGATGTTTTGCTCTGAGATCTTAAGCCACGTGTTGGCAAACTATGGACTGCATGAATCCTCCAGCCCATTTTTTGGAGCATCCAGAACCAATAAGACCAACTTGCTAAAATTCAAGAAGACTTGATTAATCTAAGGCATGGTGGCAACCTGTGTTCCGAGTCTAATGTTTGTGGGCCTAAATGTAATTCTGAGGCAAAACCAGAGCATTTTGGTAATATGATTGTTTTGATTTTAGTAACTGACTACATGTACTAAAAACATGCACTTTGGGAAAAAGGTATGATTTATATGTTGTTTTGAATCTTACTGATTTTTTATCATACCTTTAGTTAAATGAGAAAGTAATTTTTCAGACATAGCTTTCAGCCCGTAATTTGCTTTCCACCCCTTTTTTCTTTCTTTCTCTATCTTGTAGCCTTTTTATGCCTATTTTTTCTTCATGATTTCTTTTCCATGTTTTTATCTATTTCAGTCTCTGACAGGCTTCACCCTAATCCTTATTCTCTATAAATGCTGCCACGTGTAATGTAACAGCCAAACCATTTTTTTTTAAAGAATATTTTATTACTTTAAAAGGCCTCTCTGGTCTTTAATTATTGACTTATCATATCAGTTTTGAACAGACATCAGTCTCTTAACTGGATGCTGGGAAAAGTGACATCAATGGGTGAAAAAAAAATAGAATGCCAATTATAATGCTAGTCAGTGTTTTGACATTTATATTTAGAATGTTCTTTCTTTTTTTTAAAAAAAATCCTTTCTCTCTTCTGAGAATTCTCTCTTGAACTGTATGAACCTGAGAGCCCAACAAAGGCTGATATTCATACAATTGAAGGAGAAAATCTGATGCTTTCCCATTAGGACTCAACTCTAGTTACCGTAGACTGCTTTTACTAGCAAACTCTTCTTGTGAGATAAACAAGAACAAACGTTCCTGTGAAATAAAGAAACTTTGATTTTTCCCAAATCTGTGCCTGGCTTGTCTAATGTAATAAGTTCTCCTGATGAAAAGAACAGAATGAAGAGGTGCCACGTTTGTTGAGATTTACCAAACAAAGGGAGCGGCAGGTTTTTTTTTAAAGGAAGCTATGAGGGAAAATAAAATAAAAACTGGATCTAAAGTAAATACATTTTAATGTTTGGGCTGAAAGAAATTGGCAGGGTATTATGAGGATACTGCCTTGTTTCTTTTGCAAGTCTTCCCCATGAATTCAATAGAGTTATAATCCTATGTATATTTTATCTGAGAGTAAGACCCATTGAAATCAATGGGATTTATTTAGTTGCAAGCATGATCAGAATAGTGTTCACTAAATCAGTAGGAAGACATATTTTGCCTTCCCCTTGAAATACTATTAATTGCACATTTAGCTTCGCCCCCTTTCACTCTCATCTGAGCTATATTTTAAATGTATTATATACCTAAAGCACGGATGTAGCCTTCTAGCACTATGCTTTTTTGTGCCCAGGGACCCTAATAGAAAAACAGACAAGTCTCCTAGTATCTCCAAACAACTTTACATTTTGAGATAAATAAAAATGGAAATAAAATCTAAAATATTTGTAGTTTGTACAGAGGGATAATAAACAAAATTGTTGCAGTGAATTTATGCTATTTCCTAGAGATGTTGGTTTTACTCATTCCTGAAGGAGGCAAGTTTGAAATTAGGAATGCATTGCAAATGTGAATATTTCCAACCTAGTGTTTCTGTGAAGGACTTTTTTTTAATTTTCCTCATTTAGAATATCAATCAAAGCTTGAAGTAGTCTGTCATCCCTGTGTTTATATGATTTTGAATTGTAAAAAAGGTCAACATAGTCACTATATAGAGACTCTTCTGAGTCTCTCAGCTGCGGGCCTTGGTTTAGTTTCTCGAGAGCTTGATAGAAATGTTCATATGGAATATCTGTGTTTTCATTTAGCATCTTCTTCGGTAAATGATTCCCAACCAGCTGACTACGGAATGCATTTTGGAGTAAACGGAGCATTGCATCAGAGGGAACCACATCTTGGTTCTGCTGTTTGCTTCCTCTCACTTTGTATTTGTCACTCAGGTTTTCTTGGGTGGTATGGTCCTGAAAGATAGATATGAGGGTACCAAACATCAGGAGCCATTGATTATTGTCAAAAGTAGATCATAATTGTTCTGCAAATGTTGTTTAGAGCTTGATGTCCTAAGAACAAAATTACAGAATTCTATTTCTGTGGTGCTAGACATGTGTAGTTAGTTATTCATGTTTGAGGCTCAGCTCACTTAAAATGCTCTAGAGACCTGTAGAGAAATATTGCAATGGCTTGGGGAATTAGCATACTTAGGAGGCTTATGTATTAATTCTACATGAATTAGAACATGTAGAATTAATACATAAACACGCATTAATATAATGCAGAACATGCATTACTAACTAGTGACTAGACAAACAGCTAATAGGCAGGAGACTGAGGTAATAACAAATTTTCCAGTGTTGCTTCTCCAATTTTTTTCCAACTAGTGCTTATGCACAGTATATTGGCACCACACAAGGGATTTCTTGAACTATGATGCCTAGCTATTGTTTTTATGCTGGTCTTTCATGAATTTGTCTTTAAAATCCATCTAATCAAGTAGTCATCATCTCATCTAATGTTGGGAAATATCAAACTTCTAGTAAGGAAAAGCAATGTTGATTTAGATGGATTTTAAAGACAAATTCATGAAAGGCTAGTTTATATTAATTTAGAAGAAAAAATATTCTCACTTATTTCACATCTTATAAAGAAATTATAGATAGGAAAAAGCTAGATGGGTACCTCCAAGGAATCTATCATCTTTTCTACCCCTCTTCTGTCATTTTGGACAGTGTTGTATGATGTATAGATGCGAGGTTGCTTCATATGTTCAGGTCGTGTAGAAGTGCCATGCAGAATCAATTTCCAGTTCACAATCCTGCCTTCATTTTGTATTCTTGTAGACTGAGGAAAAATGTAATTGTCAATCTTTTTGTAGTCCATAGGTTTAAGAGATAAAAATACAAGAGTATTACAGATGCATATTTAATTTTAAACTATTTAAATTAGATGATGTCTATATATTTATATTGACTGCTCCTTTACATTCCTCTCTCCAAAATTAATAGAATATGTAAACGTTTCTTAAAATAGCTACAGATGTAGTTACTTCTACTGAATGTACAGAGATCAAACATAAATATTTAATTTAAAAGATTAACAACAATTTGTAATAAAGGATGACTGGCAAACTTATTCATTTTGTACTATCACATTCACTTTCTGAATATATATGTAAATCAGAACACATTAATGTCTCCAAACATGCTATATTACCTAATGTGCAATATAGCTTACAGTTCAAAAATGCATATATTGAAAAAACACCTACTATATATTCTACGGTAAAGTATGTACAAAATGGATTATTTTCAAAGAACATATTAAAAATTGGATATAAAGTACATTTTGAGAACCATACAAATATTTATGAACAAATGAGCTAAATACGGGTTAGGTTTTTAAAAAATATGGAGCAAAATGAAATGAATAAATCATCTCATTGCTATATTGGAAACATCTCTATTCATTTCCATCTAAATTGAGTTATAGGTGATGAGCCATTGAGTAACATTCCTAAAGTATTTTAATTGTTATGCAACTCTCTATCTGAAGTTCACAATTCGCCCACTTGGCATTTCAGGAGACGAATGTGATTTAAAATAAAAATCATAGCCATTGTATGTCTTAAATAGGCCCCAAAAGTACCAGTTCACCTAAAAATTGTGCTAAAAATTTAAGGATAAATTCTATTCATTATAAGCAGAGAGTCTTAGTAAAAATTATATTGGTTGGCAGTGATTAGTTAAGGCTCATTGGAGCAGGAACTGCTTTTTAGAGCAGCAAGATGCTATGCATTAAAAATGTCACTTTCTCTATTTGCCAGTTTGCATTGAAATGTATCCCTTTTTGCCTTTTAAGTCATCAGGTATTCTGTTTTTAAATAAGTGAATAAATCTTTTTTCCTAATGACAATTTATTTATTCCATTATTCTAGATAATCATTAATAAAAAAGGTTCCATCTACCAGTGATCAACTAATTAGGTATTTTTCAGTGTTGAGTTTTTGTTATCAATACATTCATTGGGACTCTTTTAAAATAATCAGTTTCTAACCTATTAAACCAAATTAAACACATGCTCAATAAAATAGTAAAGCTAACCTCATAAGGAAAACATTTTGACTTTGTGTTTAATTTCTCAACAAAATATTTAAACTTATCTAAAACCATTAGCTACAAGAAATATATTTGCTAATTGACAAAAACTGATCTTTTCAGTATAAATTACCATTCAAAGAAACTCACTCCCCCCCTAGTATAAATGCCAGAATTGCTGAAAAATATAGTTGCAGTTTGCCTTATTCTAACTAATAGAATACTAATCCACAACTGCAGTTCTGTCCTCTTGAAGATCTCAGGCAGTATTAAAATAGTTGGGATTTTCAAAGCTCTAGTCCCTACCTTGGTATCAAGGAAAAGGTAAAAAAGAATTATGTTTAATCAGAAGAGGGAGCTGTCACATAATTTCAGTGTCTATAGTTGTAAAACATATGATCATTTATTCATTATTTTATGCCTATTTCATCTTCTTTTATGCCTATTTCATCCACAGTTCTATATGTTGTTTTTTTTCCTTTTTGTGGGAAACTAGTCTTATAATTTAATGCCAAGAGAGTAGGAGAAATAGTTCTGAAGTCAGTAGAAACTTTTCACCTTGAAATAAAAGACTATATTTCAAAATAAAAGGAAGGATGGTTTTTCAACAAAAGCACCAATATTATTTGAGGGAAAAAATACAAAAGTAGGAACATGATACATTTAACTTTCAGTAGTTGCACCCAGATGCACCTATCGACTGAAGCTGCAGGAAAAAAATAGTTTTCATTAACTTATTTCCTAACTATATTTAGTTGAGCAAATCATGATTAGTAGTATTGTTTTGCTATATCTTACTTTAAGTTTGCATCCATACATTCAATTTTTCATACTCACCGTATCAATTATTTTTAAAATCCATGTTCCTGTTGGATCCTCACCCCAGGTGTGAACTGACATAAAATCCCAGTCCTTAAAACCATAGGGTGATTTATCTCTTTGTCGTTCAGCCAGTAAGACTGTTTTTGTCCCTGTATAAAAGGAAAAAGTGACATTCCAGTATGGGATAATATAAAATTCAACTTCAGGCAAAAGATACACAACCAGAATTTCATCCTCTGTTCCTCAGAATCATCTTTGTGTCCTCACTGCTACCATCTTCATAATGCTCAGCACTCACCATGAACTAGACAGAAATATTTCTAGCTGACCAATAATACAACGCTGTCCAACAACAGCTACCTCTCTGTTCAGTTTAGGAAGCCTGAGAAAAAGGTGGCAAAGTATTGATTCTTGAGCTTAAGATGAGCCAGAAGTCAATCAACTCAGCTGCAGAAAAAGTACTAAAAACATAAGCACACAACAGCATGGGCTTGAACAGGGACTGAAAAGGGCCATAGATAAATCCCAGATAGATAATCTTGTGTACTTAATAATAAGGACATTTATATATCCCTTTATATTAAAGAAATTATGGGTGGGATCAGTTTCAAATTAATAGGAGTATCAAAACGTGAGTAGTGAGACTACTGTGTATAGGATTTTATGCATGTAGGTTTCCAAGGAAGTTGTATTATAAAATATATATTATATGTCTGAAAATCTATGAGCATAGAGGATTAAGATAAAGCTTCTTCTTCAGATATCTATGCTTAATAAATATATTTTGAAAAAGCAGAGAAGTTGGCTTGATAACATATCTCATTGCTTCTTTCAACATATGGATTAAAGTTCATAAAACATAAAATGAGCTAGTATTTGTAGGTGTGGGATATGACATATCAAGCTGCCAAGATGTTCACTATATGCCCAGACCAGGGGTGGGTTACAGCAGGCACTACTGCCAGTCTGCTCATGGGCACGCTGCGCATGCGTGCATGTGCAGCACAATTAAAATTTTCTGCGCATGCAGGAGACAGTACCACCTTTCTCCTACTTGAAGACCCCACAAACAGAAACTTCTTTCAGTGTGCAAAATATTAATTCCTCTCTAATCATCAGCCTTCCTAATTTTGCTTCCTCAACTTGTCTGCAACTAGCAACCTATTTTCTTCAAAGCACTTCTGTTCAAAATTGTAAGATGTTAACCTAAATGAATACAGAAGAAAGATGGTTTCACCAAAAATTAATCCTCTTTTTCTCCTGACACAAATAGAATTTCAGAAAGCTGTGAAGTTTGAGCAGAGGAGAAAAATTGCTCTGTTGATCATACGCCATTCTAACTTTAACAGAGAACAAAGCAAAAAAGCCATAATATATAGTTTGCAAAGTATGAAATTAAGAATGCTTAATTTCATTTTTATTCTAATAAGCTAAACAACAATGGCTGGCTATGTAAGTCTGCGTTCAGAGTGCCTTCCATAAGAGAGATGCATAGGTTTGTTAGAACAACTTTACACTAACAGTATTGGCATTGGTATTTTAGGAGTGTACTGAATCGAACTGCATGGAGACCAATTTAATAGGATCAATAAAAATAAGTTAAATTATGGAATTTGCTGTCACCTAATAAAATAAGACCATCTGATTAGGCTTATAAAAAGATGAAACAAATTCCAGGGAAGAAGGATATCAATAGCCAATAATTTTCACTGTAGTACATTATTTCCAGAATAAAATAAAAAAACCACAGTTCTAATGAACTACAGTGTATGAGAACTATCAGCCTCCTGTCTGATTTATTGAGTGCATTAGGCTGGGTGGATTCATTAATGCCAAATGGGTAATCTGAAACTTTAGAGAACCTGTAGAATTAGCTGAAGCTCTTTTCTGAAACGCTGCAGGGTTGCTTTAACTTTAAAACAGCAAAGATGCATGATTTGGCTAGATAATGCAAATGAAGTGCATGGTTTAGATAGCATCGGTTGCTACTTAACTGTTTCATGGTATCCAAAATGTTCTCATGTGTGTGTGTGTGTATGCATATATAAAAATTTTCAGGATATTAATTCTTTATTTGCATTCTAATTTATTGGCAAGCATTCCATTTCTCAATGTATTCTTTATTTTTGTACCTGTTGAAATATTTTAAAAAAAATATGCCACAATTACTACCTAGCACTGAAAGAGATAATCTTATGATCTTACCTGATGGGGATGTCAGGGTCACATGAAGGTCACCCCTGCGGGAATATTCAATTGTTGCTTCAAACTGTACATGTTCCAAGGATTTAATGGCATTTTCTTGGCCTTCACAAGCTGTGGTAGGAATTTCAATGGTAACTTCACCACTAGATTTTAATAACCTGGCAACACAATTAGAAACTTAATTTACTTCATGAAGTTCTGATGCATTTTTAAAAATCCACAAAGGTTATTTATTGACTTATTTCTTCAAATATAAGAACTGTCTATCTCCCTCACTGAGGGACTCTGGGTGGTGCACAATGACACATTAAAGCATAAAAAACAGTAAAATTTTGGTTTTGTACAAAGTTTTGCTTTTAATTTTTTTTTTTTACAAAATTGTATTTTACTAGGAAATAAGACCTTCAAAGCAATTTTAAATTCCCACATAGCTCTGGATTCAGGTTTATTGAGGAAAAATGCCAAGATAATTTACTGTTGCAGGGAAACACTGCTCAAAACAAATATAGAGGCTAATTGGGCTGTCATATTTTATATGCTGCTGTTGTTTCAGTAGATTGAATCTGGTTCAGAGTTGGTATTCAGCAGGTTCTGATCAGTTCTGGAGAACCGGTAGTGGAAATTTTGAGTAGTTTGGAGAACTGGTAAATACTACCTCTGACTGGCCCCACCCCCATCTATTCTCTGCCTCCCGAGTCCCAGCTGATGGGGAGGAAATGGGGATTTTGCAGTAATCTTCCCTTGGAGTGGGTAAGGAATGGAGGTTTTACAGTATTCTTGCCCTGCCATGCCCATCAAGCCATGTCCACCAAGCCACGCCACGCCTATCAAGCCACACCCACAGAATCAGTAGTAAAAAATGTTGAATCCCACCACTGATCTGGATCCTTTTGTATACAAAATGCCATTATCCCCATTCATTCCCTTTCCCACTCATCTTGTTTTTTTCCATGCAACTGTTGCTGTATCAGTATGGTTTAATAAAGATCTATAGGGCTTTTTACTGCACAACTATATCGTAGAAGCACTGCCAGATGGAAGCAGTCGACTGGGGACAGTTGAAAAAAATATTATATGGGAAGGTCACAGGGAAGTCTCTATATGTTTCTGGATCAGAATTCATCTAAAAACGAAGCCAAAAATATCAAAGTGTCAGCTCTTACCTCGGCTGAAAGTCACTGTCCTTAACTATGCATTCTTTCTTTTCTGGCACTCCTTTCCAGCTTTTGGGATCAGCCAAATCTACCAGTGCTTTAGCATTGAGTAATCCAAATCCAAATCGGCTGTTCACCATCAGCCCAGCTCCGTTCTTCTTCCATCCTGGATTGTTGGCCAGTGGATCGAATTCAGATGTCCAGACTACCAAATGTTGCACATCTCTCCAGGTTAGATTAGGACTGTTACAAACAAAATTCTAGTCAATTTTGATCTTAAGGGATTGGAGTCTTGGCCCATAATCCAGTATTTTAATAGGCACGGAATACTTTTCAAACACACCAGTGAGTCAGTTAGAGCATAAGTGCTCAGTTAAGAAGCCCCAGGAATCAGCATCTCTATTGAATTTCCAACAGTATTTTGTTTTAATGTCATGAAAGATTCATACTAAAATGCAGAAAACTACTTAGAGATAAAGGAACTCTGTTCTTTGCTGGGAAAATAGATCAACTAATTGGGTTACCTTATTATACAATATTTATTATTCTATTTTATTTGAGTGGACCTTGGTGATGTCTGAGCTTGGTTGTTTTCATGCAGACATTTCATTATCTAAAATAGATAACAACTGATGAAATGCTACTGGCTCGGACTGGTTCGTCTGAACTGGTAGTAAAAAAATGCTACCAGTTCGGCTGAACCAGTAGCTCTGATTATCAGCTATGCGACAATCAGCACCAATTTGGGTAATGAAATGTCTGCAAGAAAACAAACAAGCTCAGAGAATAGTAAGGACACCTAATTTCAAACCGGAGTTACAAATATTCTCATTTATTGGTTTTATTGTATTTATCATTGTTATATTTGTTCTCTATTATCTATTCTTAGTGGTTTTTCTGATTCTTGTCTTCAAGCCCTCTTTGAAGGGAATTTTTGAAAAGTTTCAAAGAATGAAACTGCAGTACCATATTTTTGAAGTATAAGACGCACCTTTCCCCCCCACTAAAAGAGTGTCAAAATTTGGGTGCATCTTATACACTGAATGTAACCCCACCCTCCCACCGGCCCCTACCCTTTGGCCTCTGTCTCTCAGCAATTTACTCCTTGCAGAAAATCGGGAAAATGGGGCTTGCAAAGGTGGCAAAAGACTATGGCAATCCCTGCAGCCTGAAACAGCTGATCATTGGGAGACTGTGCTGAACTACATAAACAGTGTATATCTTCTGTACTATTTGCTGTTGGCTGCAAGGAGGCAAATTGCTAGGAGACAGAGGCAGATTTCCTCCCCTTGTTTTCCTCCCCAAAAGCTAGGTGTATCTTATACTTTGGAGTGCCCTTTAGTCGGAAAAATATGGTAGTTCCATAAGGACATTAAGAAAAATCAGAATACTCACAATATAGGATTAGACTAATCATTCTCTTTACAATTCATATCAATTTTATGTGTGGTCCTTCTGGTCCACATATCCAAGAAGAAAATTTTACTTTTAATTTCAAGGTCTGTTTGAAAATATTTTGTTATACAGCTGTAGATGTTTATGCTAGCAATATGGAACAGGACAGTTGCTTGAAATGTGAATTAAATCAAAATTTCAAGCATTCCCAAGTAGGAAGATGTTTAAGAAGACTTACTTTGCTTCTAGGGCTAGAGCAAAAATCCCTGCAGCTAAAGGAGCAGATGCAGACGTCCCCGTGTGAGTGGCTGTGCATTCATTGTGTAGATCTGCACTTATCTGAAGGATATAAACATCATGTAAAGGTTAATTGTAGCCATGCACAAAAGCATACTTCTCCATGATTGCCTTGGAACAAGTTGTTATCTTCCAGATGTTGAAAACCCTCCCCATCTATTTCGCCTACAATTTTTTTAATTGAAATAGCTCATTTTGGATGAACATAATGCTACATGAAAGGCACTCATCTTATTGTGAAATCCTAGTAAGATAAAAATAAGTGTTTCAGAATTACTGTTGAATCATACAATGGATCACTGTAAAATGATTGCCAGATTTAAAAAACCACACAGGAGTTAATGGCAGATACTTTTCTTTTATTTCTTCTCAGTCTAACAATGCACAGCACTTGTAATTTGGAAAATAAAACAGATGGTTTATTAGAAAATAAAGTGCTCTGCTTGGAAAAAGTGCCTCACATTACTGCCTGCAAAATTCCAATATTTTGGAAGTACAGTATTGAAATGTGTGCATGTGAAGGTACAGTAGTAGGATCTATAGACCATAGATGAAACATTTTGGAATTTTTGATCAATTATTATCCTTTCTTCTCTTCTTTCTTCTCTTCTCTTCTTCTCTTTCTCAATAAAACACTGGAATTTACTTTCATTTTCCACAGATCTTGATTCAGTGACAACCCAACAGATCAGATGGAAGGGAGACAACCAAGAGATCAATAGTATGGTTACTTCCCATATATCATTATCTCCCCTGACCTTTCATGAATCCAGGCAATTGTTTTGCATTTCCCAAAGGTACCTCCCAAACTTCCTAATTTTCATTCTTGGCACTGAAAGCAAATTCAACCCAAGTTTTCTCCAGAGAGAGACAGTCCTTTGCATATTAACTTTGCCTTTATATAGAAGTTGCCTTATTTTTGGAGGCAAGAAATAGGGAGTCCCATTTGAACAAAAGGTGATTATGTATTATTTCAGCAATATGTTTATGGTGTGCTTTTGATGACAAATCTTTATACACTCAATTTATTTTTTAAAATTCCTGCAGTTCTCCTCCCAAAATACCTCCCAATATCACCAGTCATGAGCCACATTTTTTCAGCAGCTTACTTAAAAAATAAAGTTTAATCCTGAATAAAAATGCCCACTATACCTGAATTATGATTGCTAGAGCATTAAGACTAGTTCCCATGATTTTACCATCCCTGCTCTACAAATTGCTTTGTGGCTGCCCGCCCCCCCTGCAATGTTGGTTAAATCTGGTAAAAACAACTTACAATTTTCTGGTCAGAATAGTCCCCACTGCTGTATGCTGTGGCCAGTGTTGAGGAACACTTTTCTGCATACCAAGGAGAATGGCCTTGTTGAGAAGCACTGCTGATGGAGATTGTGTAGATGCTGTCTGTGTAACCATCACAGTCACAATTATCTCCTTGGCGGCCACCATTCCCTGAGGCCCAGACAAAAAGGGAACCTTTCCCTTTTCTTCCCTAAAGGAAATGAAAGAAAAGAGGTGACTATTGTGAGTAAAAATATGTGCACTTTCCTCCAGATTTATTTTTCATGCCCATTTTGTGAGTAAGCCTAAACATCAGAATCAGAGAAAGGATGCCCCCTTATTTTGTTGGAACAAGAATGCAGTTAATATGTTATTTTGACAGATCCATATATTTAATTGGTTTAAAGGTAAGCAGTAGATCTACATATCATATAATTTTTTTTGAATGATGTGAAGGGAATGGTCAGCCATAGAACAAAGTAAGCAAGGACATTTTCCCTGCACGAATAAAAGCTTAATTTATCTTAAGAGATCCTAAGATAAGATCTAATGATAAAAATAAGATAATGGACTGGAATGTTTGAAGGGCTAACATCTCAGTCAGAAAGCTGAGGATACAAAGGGAATGAGGACGCTATAAGGAGCTCACACAGGTATGGCATGAAAACTATAATCAATGGACAGAAAACAACAAAATGAGTCTTAGGTCTTTGGCTGTTCTCATGGTTCAGTCTCAGAGAGTTATAATCTAATGGTGCAAAAGTCCACAAGAGATAGATAGAATTTCTCACTTCAGTAAAATGTTGGCCAGTCTCTAAGCTGGTAAAGATAAAAATAGACATTGCACACTCCAAAATGTAGAAGGAACTATTTTCAGGAACTTCTTGTGGGGTTCAGGCTAATTCATACCTCCCCCTGCCCAAAAAAATTAAGAATGGTCTACTTCAGATGTCCAAATACCTTTTTCTAAGTGAAGGTTCAGGGTTTACTGCTTGGGGTAAAACTCACTGCATTGATAAAAGTTTGTTTTTGTTTGAGATTCCCCCTTTCTAATAGTTGACAGCAAATATTATTATGGGGAGAATAATTTATGATCCATGAAGGCATACATTGTTTGCAATAAGCCAATCATTTTTCACTCTTTAAAATGCAACACTTTAGAAGTTAAAGTGCTGTTATTTTCCTAGCAACATGCTGATATCTAGACAATCTTTGAAACATAACTATATTCCCTAAGGAATCGGAGGAATTACGGAACTAATAAACAATAGCTGCACATTTGCTGCATTACAAATTAATATTCTGGGAAATACTAATATATATTTCATATGGTGCATCTATTCCATCACAATACAATTATTTAATAAAGCACTGAATAATTAAATGGAGTGTTCACTATTTGCTGATAATTTGTTTTAAAAGGATTATTCCTAGTCTTAATGTATAGACCTCAGATATTCACAACTCTGCCCAAGTCCAGCTCAAGCTTTGACTACAGTACTTATTTAATTTATGGCCATTTGCTGCATTGAATATAAAATATATTAACCAATGATCTGCCAACCAAAAAAATGAAAAGAAAAGAAAGCAATATTGCTCAGAGAGAAGACAAATGATTCTAGCACATCTTTGTATTGCAACAGAAATGGTGATAATGCATTATCTATGTCAAGATCCTCACTCCCCAAGCCGCAGCCCACTATCGGGCTGTGGTCTATTCACAACTGGCCACATGACCTGCCGGCCGGTGCACACATGCACATATGCAGCTTGATTTGTGAAACAGCAGGCCAACAGGTGTACACATGCATGCACAGTTAAACTTGCACAAGTTCTCCCCCCCCTCCATATGTGCTGTCAAACCACAAAGGTTGGGGACTGCTGATCTATGTGACTAGCAAGAGTCAATACATGTGCACCAGCATTTTAAAGCTTCAGTGCATGTCCATTTCATAGACTGAAGTAGTAAAGCCTTTAGCTCTATATTTTCCTGTTGTTTCATAATTCTTGATTCACCAGTATCTACTTCTCTGCATCTACATGGAGGCAAGTACACAATGGGGTACCCCAGGCTCTGTCTTAGGCCCAGTACTCTTCAATATCTTCATCAATGATTTAGATGAGGGGGTAGAAGGGGAACTCATCAAATTTTCAGATGACAACAACCTGGCAGGAATACCCAACACTCTAGAAGATAGGCTCAAGATACAGAAGGATCTTGACAGACTTGAACACTGGGCCCTATCTAATAAAATGAAATTCAATGGTGAAATGGTTAGGCGGTCCCTGGCTCAATAGTATTAGCTGTGAGACGGATCTTGGAGTCCTAGTGGACAATCCACTTAAATACGAGCCAGAAGTGTGATACAGCTGCTAAAAAAAGCCAGTGCAGTCCTAGGCTACATTAACAGAGGGATAGAATAAAGATCATGTAAAGTGTTAGTACCACTTTATAATGCCTTGGTAAGACCACACATAGAATATTGCATCCAGTTTTGGTCATTACAGTATAAAAGACACTCCAGAAAAATGATTTGGGAACTGAAGGCTAAAACATGAAGAACAATTACAGGAATGGGTATTCCTAGACTAATGAAAAGACGAACTCAAAGTGAAATTATAGTAATGTTCCAATATCTAAGAGGCTACCCCAAAGAAGAGGAGGTCAACCTATTCTCCAAAGCACCTGAAGCCAAGAAGCAATAGATGGAAACTAAGAAGAGAACCAACCTAGAACAAATGAGAAATTTCCTGACATTTAGACCAATTAATCAGTAGGACAACTTGCCTTCAGAAATTGTGGGTGCTGCAACACTGATGATTTTTAAGAAGAGATTGGACAACCATTTGTCTAAAATGATATAAGGTTTCCTGCATGAACAGAGGGTTGGACTAGAAGACCTCCAAGGTCCCTTCCAACTCTGTTATTCTGTTAACATCAGAAATTAATTGTTCCTGCTCATCACTAGCTGCCTTTCTGAATGATGAGCTATAAACAAAATCACACACACACGCGTGCACACACACACACACCATGCAAGAATATGCAAAAAGAAAAGGCCATCTAAAAATAAAAAAAAATACTGTGAAGCTGGAGCTGGGAGACTAGTAACATTTCAGAGAAATTTCTCTAAAAATCTTTAAAAAAAGATTAATGAAAGTATATTCACTTTAAGAGTGTCTCATTTATTAAAATACTTGGGTGAATTTTTAAAGAGATAGCTCATAGACTATAACAAGTATAGCAGTGGTAATAAAAGAACCCTTTTCTTAAATTGTTCGTGTAGAAAATGTTAATAACTCTCATTAGGAAAATATGACTCCTTATTTGCCTTACTTTGGACAATGTATATTCTCTATCAAATGTAGCTATGCTGGGAGGAAAGCAAGTATGAAGAATTGTGCTCTGTATAGTCTGTGTATCGTCTACACTGACCTTCAGACTTCCTCTCAAACCCCTCTCTTGACTTCATAGGGAAAATTCAAAATCCAGAAATGAATCAGGACAGCTGTGTCTGCAGTGATGGCGCAAGAGGCTCAAAATGATGAAGAACCCATTGTAGTGTCACAGTGCAAGACTTTCCATTTCATATGTGTATCATGATGTTACCAGGGAGTATAAAAAGGGTAGAGTTTATGGCATGCTGGTGCATCATTTTGATGTCCCATAGTATTCCTCATCTGTATGAAGGATTTTTTTTTTAAAAAAAGCTTCTGTGTACTGAATGCATCTTCAAAAATTATGGATGAACAGGTTGAGAAAAAGAGAAAGTAGGAGAATTATTTTCTCCAAAGACTAAAAAGGAAATAAAAAAGAGAGAAGGGGAAAACAGTGAAGGAAAGAAAGAAGAGAATGACAGCAAAGGAGAAATAAGAGGCAGTAGAAAGAAAAAAGGGTGATGCAAGAAAAAAGGCTAAGTTAAACCCAAAGTCCAAGTAAAATATACAATTGCTGGGTTTTAACATGCTATAAGTAAAGGTAAAGTTTCCCCCTGTCCAATCGTGTCCAACTTTAGATGGTGTATCCATCTCCGTTTCTTAGCCAAGGTAGCCATCATTATCCAAAGACTTTAATGATTATGTGCAGTGGTGGGATTCAGCCAGTTTACATCTATTCATGAGAACCGGTTGTTAACTTTCTAAGTAGTTCAGAGAACCGGTTGTTGGAAGAAATCTCATTTTTGTTTTTTCCCACTTTACAGGGCTAATCCTGTAAGGGTGGCAGGAAGGAAACATTCTGGTGTTGTTTCTAGCCTAATCTTTATTGCCCTGCTTAGAGAAACTGCCTCTCCAGTTAACCCTTATTACATTGTAACAGCTAAGGCAAAGCGAGTGTAAGAGCTAAGGCGAAGCAACATCGACGTGATATTGAATTGGCCATGCCCACCCATTCATATGACCACTGAGCCATGCCTACCCTGCTGGTCATTAGGGCAGAGAACCGGTTGTTAAATTATTTGAATCCCACCACTGATTATGTGGCCAGCATGACTATACTCCGAAGCATATGGAATGCTTTTACCTTCCCACCAAAGCAGTATCTATTTATCTACTCGCATTTGCATCTTTTCAAACAACTAAGTGCTCAGGAGCTGGGGCAAGTAATGGGAGCTCACCCTATAGTAGAGTACTTGGGTCTTGAATCCAGACTGTCAGCTTTCCAGCTGACACGCTCAGCATTTTTAACCGCTAAGCCACCGCTCCCTCATTTTAATGCTATGCTTAAACAAATTAAAAACATAGGGTTAATTTGATGGTCATGATAGTTTTGTTCATGCAGCTTGTTAAACAATATCAGGATTCCCTGTAATAGCAGAATTGAACCACAACCACAATACATTATAATAGCCTTGGAAAGCAGAAATTCTGAACCCATGGCCTTCATCCATTAATTCTGTGCTGCAAAAATGCACAGTTAGACAGTCATCAGTTTGGACTGGATACTTCCCCTCTTGAAAAGCATTGATTTTAAAGTAAAGCCCACAATCTACCACAAACAACTCTATATCTTGCCTGTCGCATTTCTCAAGCCAAAAAACTAAATAAATAAAATACTATTTTGGAGAAGCAGCAAGTGGCCAGTGACTTCTTCAGGAAGCATTATTATGGTGGCAGCTGGCAAGTGCTATTTGTTCTTTGCACTAAAATTATTTTTTAAACTTAATTTAATTTCTTTAAAAATGGGATTGTATTGCAGGGGATTGCCAAAAGCAAAAAACGGATGCCTTTCTCAGTATTGACCTTAAAATAAAATCCCAAATTAGTGATGCAATTGTTAGAATTCAATTTTTCTCCAATTTGGTTTTCTTCCATTGTGTTGTACCAACAACTCTCAAGGATGAGAAGGTTAGAAATAATATGTTCAAGTTGTATAAGTTGTTCTAATAACTAGATAATTAATAAAAGCAATTAACTTGATTGTTTTATATCTTCACTTTAAGTAAAATTGTGAAATAGGAACTTGAGCTGAGTCAAGTATTGGATGCATCTGTCAGCAAGTCCACTTCCTATCAGAGTATCAGACCCAAACATTGGTCTGTCTAATTGGTGAAAGAACAGTTAATGAAAGAATATCTTGAAAAATGGAGTAAGCCAAATTACAGAAAAAAACAAGGCAGATCTCTCTATTGATACAAGAGGCTTAGTAAGTGGGTTTAAATGTTATCTTAGTTTTTAGAATTAAAAAGCATAAAAAATTGCTTCATAAACATCATCTACGTACATCCTTAACTGGACCTAAATTACCAACAAGAAGGCTATTTTTCTCAAGTATTCACATCATTTTAATTATAACTAATTGAGCAATGCACTCTGTTATAAAACAATGTATAAAATTTTGATGCCATACTAGATAATGCAATATTCAGAAAGTAGGCAATTTCTATTAATATTTTATAGGCCCTCTTTGTATAAAATCTCATTAATATTCAAAGGAAAACAAGTAGAAAAAAGTCAGCAAAGAAAAAATAAAAACAAGAAGGTGTGAGAGAGTGATGATAGGAAACAACCCATTTTCTGGCATGTACTAACTGCTTTTTCGCTTTGTGTTAAGACTGTCTTACCTTTTTAATTCCATATTCAAAAGCCTTTTGGGCCAGTCTGCCAGGTCCCTCCACAGTTTTCCCATCATCATTTGGACCCCAACTGGCACTGTAAATATCCACATGATCAGGATTGAACCCAATTGAGCTAGCTTCAATGGCATCTGTGACTATGCCATCCAGCATTCTGATCCCTTTTATGAGAGAGAGGGGGGAGGGGAGAGAGGGGGGGGTTGGAGAGAGAATCTCAATTACCCATTATTTTTGTTCTCTTTCAATGGCCAGTACAAAACAGTGCTTGTGACCATGTCAAAATGGAAACATTTTGCCCACTTTTCTAAACTGCAAGAACCTAAGAACAGAGGACTGGATTGGATATAGGTGATTCAATATATACAGTGAATATAAAAAGCCAGGTTTTTGAGTGGTAAAAAAAATCAGACCAAGATAACTCACATCCGATCCCCTCCCCCTTGAATAAAACATACAAGGTGTACAATTCACTTGAAAAACAAACTCAAATCTTTTAGGGAAAAAAATAGCAAGAATAATGTGGCTGCATAAGTATGAAAACCCTCTTATAAGTAGGGATGTGGCTGTGTTCAGAATTAATCGCATTCAGACTGATGTTAACTAGTAGTCAGTGCACACCTGCCATCAATTAAAGCGACTCTGATCAAGCCCATATAAAGTTCAGCTGTTTTAGTAGTACGTTTCAGACATTTACTCAGTTGTCTCTTACAACAAAAGCCATGGTCTAGAAAGAGCCCAGTGTTGGGATTCTACCAGTTGGGACTGGTTCAGATTAACCTGTAGCTCTGAAGATCAGTAAGTGGGCAGGCCCATCCACCAGGTCCTGCGCTTTACCTACCATTATCTTCTCAGCAGAGTAGATTGCCACACCTCAGTGTTTTCCTTCCCAAGTAGCAATCCAAAATGTAAGTATTCTGTAAATTGGGCACACGCGCAAAGCGCGCACTCAGCGAACCAGTTGTTAAACGGTAGGAATCCACCCCTAAAAGAGCCTATAGAGCAGGTGGGTCAATCTCACAGTCCACGGGGCAGATGCATCACTTGCTGGCCACATCCATGCCCCGATTAGCAAAAGGGAAAAAAGTCACGATACATCACATGACATAAGTTTGAACACCTCTGCTATAAAGGATCAAAAGGATCTATTGTCAAAATCAGTCAGGAGAAAATCCCCCACCCAAGCATTGACTATAGCATGGAACACAGTAAAGACAATCACTAGAGAAAATATGGCATGACAGTGACATTACTAAGAACTGGATGTCTCTCCAAAGTTTACAAAAAAACTACTTTGCAAAGAGGCCTACAGCAACATTAAAGGAGCTGCAAGTATTTCTAGGAAGTACTGATTGTGTGCTGCATATGACAACAATTTTCTATGTTCATCAAATGTCTGGGTTACAGGATACAGAGACAAGATGAAAGCTTTTTCTTACAAAGAAAAATATCCGAGCCCTGCTACGTTCACAAAAACCTACATGAAATCTGACAAAAACATGTGGGAAAAATGTGATATACTCTGATGAGCCCAAGGTTGAAGGTTTTGGCTGTAATTCCACAAAATGTTTGGTGCAAAAACAGCACTGCATCACCAAAAGTACACCAAAGCCACAGTGAAACACAATGGTTACAGCATTATGCTTTGTGGTTCTTTTCTTCAGCTGGAATAGAGGCTTTAGTCAAGGTGAAGGAAATTATGAACAGTTCCAAATATCAGTTAATTTTGGCACAAGACCTTCAGACCTCTGCTAAAATGTTGAAGAGAAATTTCACATTTCAATGCAACAACAACTGATAGCACCTCCAATTTTTTTTAAAAAATGGCTTCACCAGAAGAAGATCAAAGTTTTGGACCTGAACCCAATTGAGAATCTCTGGGGTGACCCGAAGAGGGCTAGGCACAAGAGATGCCCTCTCAATCTGAGAGATTTGGAGTCCTTTTGCAAGGAAGAATGGGCCATGATGATAGGCTCCTCCCTAAAAGACTGAATGCTGTCATGAAATCAAAAGGTGCTTCAACAAGGTATTAGTTTAAAAGTGGGCATCTTTATGCAATCACGTTATTGTAAGTTTTAATTTTTATTTTTCTCCTTAAAAGATTTCAGACTGTTCTTTAATTGATTTGTGAAGTTTATGTTATATAAATTCTGTAGTGATTTATCTTGGTCTGATTTTTCTACATCTCAGAAATCTGGCATTTAAAAAAAGTTGTATAGACTTTTTACATCCACTCTAGCAGATTCTTTTTGACTCTGGTTGGAGGTGCAGTTGTTTGAAAAAAAGGTGAATTAGGAAAACAAAATCAGATTTGAAAATAAGATATTTGATCACTTTATAAAAGCAAAGAGACCAGAAGGATGGTAGTAGGTAGTAGAGGAAAAGTCAGTGTGGCACCCAGCATATTTTTCTATAGTATCCTATGGTTGGTTTCCATTTTCTGGTCATTCTTACAAAGATCAGGTGCCTCCCCGCATCTCCACCACACAATGCTAAACTTCATCCCTGCTTCTGTTAATCACCAAAAGATCTGTGTACATCTAAGAGCCGAGGTGGCGCAGTGGGTAGAGTGCAGTACTGCAGGCCACTTCAGCTGACTGCTATCTGCAGTTCGGCGGTTCAAATCTCACCGGCTCAAGGTTGACTCAGCCTTTCATCCTTCCGAGGTGGGTGAAATGAGGACCCAGACTGTGAGGGCAATATGCTGACTCTGTAAACCGCTTAGAGAGGGCTGAAAGCCCTATGAAGCGGTATATAAGTCTAAATGCTATTGCTATCTTTAATATGAAATATATTAATATGAAAGACCTTATCTTTGCCAAAAGACTATTTAATGATGGAACTGTCTGTAAATTTGACTGATGACAAAATGGCCTTCACTTTAAAGCAGTGGATCTTGGCAAAGTTAAGATATGTGGACTTCAACTTCCAGCATACTAGCTGAGAAGTTCTGCATATTGGTCCATACTTAATATTTTTAAGATTGAAAAACACAGTTTTAGAGGTTTTATTTTTTGTGTGTGATGAAGTATATATCATTTATTTATTTGAAAAACAAAATAAAAACAGTACAATGAGGGGATTACATATAGAGCTTTTAAAAATCCATACTATCATAAATTAACTAATGGATACATGCATACAAGCATACATAGATACTTTTGTTCAGTTGGTTGTTTTGCTGACTTTCCTCTATTTCTTAAGAAACCCTCTTCCTCTCCAAATTAATAGTATATTAGTAACTCACATTTAGAATTTAGAAAACTAGAAGCTTTTCTTGCATAGTTGAGGCCATGGCATGCTTGGTCAACATGCATTGATAAAAATTATAAATAATTGAATTTCAGTCCACATTTGTAGGCCACATGAATATGTATATAGTAGCAATCTAATCAGCCACTGATGCTTAGGGATTATGGTACTTAATGAAACTATTATTTTCAGGGTTTTGTTGAAATTCATTAGATGGCAGCAATGAATAACCCTTTCAGTCTTTTGTATGCATAATAGAAACAGAAAACTTCTGTCCCTGCTATTCAGTTTAATATTCCTTTGTTCAGTACCTCTCCACTAGCATTTCGAACATCTCTGGGTACTTCAGCAAAGAAACAGACTGCTAAAATAGAATTATGGTTAATATTTCTTACCTCCAACTTTGGAATTGTATGCCACTCCAACTCCACATTTTAGATTGTTTGCTTGCATGGCAATCTCTCCTGCACACCGTGTCCCATGTCTGCAACAAAAGCAGCTTTAGAAGGGTCATCTTCAAATATTATTATGTAATTATTATTCATTTGAGTATATGAAATTTATATGGAGCTAAAAGAAACTAAATTACATAGCTCTGTTTGCACAACATGATCAACAAAATCATAGGAGAAGATTAGAGGGTTATATGAATACCACAATGTAGTTTATTAAGTTAATGTGCCCATCTCTACTTAATTAACCTTCCCAACAAATATGTATCCTTAGGTGTGGGAGGGAATAATTTTATCACAAAATAGATTTTAGTTTGTTTGAGGCTAAACTAGGCATTGTTTCCCCCAATCAACCTTGTAATTCCTATTGAAGAATTAACCAGTTTTGAAACAGACAATCATCATAATGATTTCATAATGATTTCATTATAATTTCCATCATAATGAGATTTATCTAGGAAAATGTTCTCTGTTTTCTTTTTACTCATCTGCTGCAACTTCATTGCTGGTGGTTAAAAAAGGGGGCAAACAAGGTTGGTGAGATGAGGCTACCCTGATTCTCTCTGTACCACTGTGAATTATTCTTTGATTCCCACCCACCCCACCCCCTAAACACTATCACTGATACCAATGATACCCTTCTGGTATCTGACTCAGTGGTTGCACTGACTAAAAAATCAGCATGTGTCAGAGTTCATTTTGTTGCATTGACTGAAAAAATGGTCAATGCACAACCAATCCAGTCATCTTGGATCTACTGTCTACTGTTCTACTGTCCCACAAAGTTGGCAAGTTGGGGGATAAGCCAGTAAGCTACCCTAATTATGAAATAATCATGAATAATTATAGAACACAGAACAACTTTAGTCAAACTAATGTCATTCTGATGTGCTGGATCTATAAGAACTCTTCAGTGAGCACACTTATTGTTTCCCCCACACATTTTGATGATTTTGTAAATTAATTCAAATAATAAATGCAATGTTTAAGAGACCAAGGAAAATTTATAGCTTTAATGAATATCAGATATCAAGTTATCTATTAAGGGGATGATTAGATTTAAGTTTGTCCTTTTTATTTCCAGAGAGTAAACAGCATAATATTTCCTATTCCACCATTCAGAAAATCTTCACTTTCATTGCATAAAATGATAATCCACAGTGAAAAGCTGCTTTATTTAATAGCACAGGTTGCTATACACTGAAGCTGTTGAATGCTGCCAGTTTGAATTTCATTTATATATCAAAAGTAGTTGTTATGGAGAAATGGTAGATTTGAGATAATTTAAATCAGTGGATAATGGTCAATTATTGCCAATAACTGCTCCAGCTGAGTGATACATTTTACCAAACCAGGAAATATTCATCTTTTGAAAATCTTTCACTGTCACAATATTTTTTTTTTCTGTTACAATAGAATCCACATAAGGAACAATATTTGCCTTAAATAGATATTGGTGAACTTTAATGCATTATAACAAAAATGGCATCTTATCCTAATTGTCTTGGGAAGTATTGCATGTTTATGATCCCACACTTGAAGTGAACTGGGTGCCCTGATCCTCTGCTTCTCAAACCAACACAGACCATATTGATGCAGTCATCCACTAAAAACTAAATCCTCATTTTATTTAGGTTGCTTACTCCCAGCTAAATGTTCATTTGTCTTACACATTGTATTTCAGGAGTGTCCATGATGGAGGTGATCAAAACAGACAGTAAGACAACCTGATAACACAATTGAAACCCATCCATTTTTAACATATGCAATTACCTTCGGGAGTTGTTGGGATTGTGGTATCAGTTGGAAATGGGAGTGTGTGTGTGTGTGTGAGTGTGTGTGTGTGTGTGTGTGTATGTGTTCGTGTGTGTACAGTTGGTTTATCATATTTTTTCATCTAAACCATAACCAATCCAATATTTGAAAAAAAAACCCTGGCTGGTTCAAATTAATTATTTATATCATGAAGGGCCATACACTTTAATAATAGAATCTCAAAATTTAGGCTTGTGTGTTGATTGCATAAATGACACTTGAAAATTAATTTGCTATTCTCTGAAAGTACCTACTCAGCACCAAGACTACTAGGCAACAAGTAATAGATATTTTCACAAATCACATCTATATCAGGACAAAACTAGACAAAACAAAAGATCTTGTCCCACTGTGGTGAGAGTATGGAAAACCAATATGGATATCTATCACTCTTGGTCAAGCAAATAGAAATATGTTAGAGTGCAATCCTGAGCAAGGGGAAATCATAAAAAGAAAGAATCCCTGTCCCATCAGTGTATAAATGTGATATTGTCTGGGTTCTGAGCAAAGGATGACAATAACAACTGTGTGGTATTGAATTAGCTTGATTTGTTACTGCTCCTAAAGTTTAGTCCAAATAGATAATATAAAGTGACAGTGAATATCATTAAAATAATGATATTCAATCCAATAATTCCAGAAACAACTGCAATATATATCAGAGTGTATTAAAGTAGGTAGTTACTCACTTATTTTCATTAGTAGGATCATATCTGGGAAATGGATCATGATCATTGTCATTGAAATCATAACTTGCATCAGGATCCTAAATGTTAATCAAGAAAATAGCTGTAATTACTCTAAATCAATTGGTGAAGCAAGAGAGATAGCAATATAAGAAGAATCATAGCAAACCAAAATGGAAACTTATCTAGTCCCTCTTTCTGTTTCGTTAGTGGGCAATACAATGTCTGGCTGGGATGCCAACAATTGCACATAATTGCAGTATAACACCCTTGTTTCCCCATTAATAGCAGCATTCTCTCTTTTTAAAAAAAAATCAATAATAGCTCATGTTTTATTGAGTTGTCGTATTTGAATTTCTTCACCCAATTGTCATGCAGCGTGTGATTTTAACTCTTTTGAATTCTCCCCAATATCTACAGATTAAGCTGATAAGGTATTCACTTGAAGGCACCCAATCATGTTTATTATTGAAAAGGAATATTTTTAAACTCCAAGAAACTAATCATGAAATTGGAAATGAAAAAATAATGATTGCTACTGATATGTTAAACTCACATAGTTAAAGTAAATGTCTGTGTGATTCCATTCCAAGCCATCATCGAGCACTGTTATGACAACTCCTTTGCCTGTGATGCCCTTTTGCCACACTGGAAGGACATGGAGATCCAATTTGCGCAAAGATCGGTTGATTCTTGTATCTTGCTAGGAGAAACAAAAGACAATTTATTTATGCATTGTGCAAATGTTACTAACTTGTTTTACCTATAACGCATTGTATAAAATTAATTAATTTTATTACATATGTTGCAATCAAGTCTCTTTGTATGAATGAATGAATTAATGAATGAATGAATAAATGCAATCTTGCTCCTGCGTAGTTTTTATTTATTTATTTAATTACATCAAGAAAAGCTACTTTTAAATATTGCTTACAGAGATACACTATTTTATTTTTTATTTATTTATTAACTGACAATATTTATTTAGTTAGTATTGCTGAAACAACAGCCTCTCCTTTACTGAAATTTTCTGTCAGCTCACATGAATTGCATGACACATTGAAAAAAATATGGTTTATAAAATGTATTATATTTGATTTGGTTTTGATCATGATGCACATAGTAGTACTATACACACTAACTTTACCCAACTTCTTTTGTCTAGTATGGAAGATTATAAGAAATCTTAAATAAGAGAGAGCGCAAGATGGGGGAGAATGGCTCTATTTTATTGCCAATTTCAATCTCTTAGAATCATCTTCTCTTAAAATTATTATTTGTTAGTAAAAAGGGGCTGCGTCATATTATGACTGACCTGTTAAAAATGACATCACTTCATCATTTCCTTCCTTTCTTTTCATTTGAGGTTATCACTTATCTCCCCCACTGAATTTTATAAAGCTTGTGCTCTTTTTCACAAGTGCTACTTATCTCAAACTTTAATAGATTACATTTGGGCAAATTCAGTAAGATAATTTTTCCACTAGAGAATAGTTTTGTGACTGTACAGTTTTCATTTCAAAATCATGCTGCAGATGATTGACATAGTTTAAAACATGCTGCCGATGATTGTATATATGTCATAGTTTAAACCTAAAAGCCAACTTCTATTATCATACTTTGAATGATCTCTCAAATGGTTTAGTACACTAATGAAGCAATACTAAAAGATTCTTCAGACATATATGTTCTACATGTAGATTCAAATTCTTACCAGGTACCATTGCTGGCTCCACATTGGGTCATTGAATAGATTTTCTGCTGAGTCTCCTAATTCAAAACGCTTAGTTCGCTTTTTTTCATACTGTTGTTCTGCCCAAGTCACCTAAAATAGCATCAGATAGATAAATAGATAGCTAGATAAGAAAATACTGGAGGTCCTTGTGTCTATAAATGCACACTGAAGTCTTGTTTATTCCATGTTTAACCCACAGGTTTTATAAGGAACTCAGTGCACCAGTTCTAGAATGATGGTCTTTCCTTAAAACAGCAAATGCTAATTTTATTATTGCACAGCTAAAAATAGCTTAAGATTGTCTCCTGTCTTGGCTATTTCATAACTAAAATAGAATAAGTACATAAGTGAGAAAGATACGACAGTCCGAAAGTGGAGCATGTCAATATATTCTTTATAGACAGATTTTTAAAATTATACTGCTAATTTATTATCGGTCTTACTTTATTATTTTGGGAAATCAATTTCCATTTTTATAATCCAACCCTTGATCTTTAATTTTAAAAGGATAATAAAAGCCTGACAAGAAGGCAGTATCTTTGATCCAGCAGTGATGATCCATAATCCAAGAATCAAAATGAATGATACTGAATTATTATTTTTAATATGCCTTGTTTTTATTATAAAATGTATGTATGTATGTATGTATGTATGTATGTATGTATGTATGTATGTATGTACGTACGTACAATCTATGGGTTTCCCCATTGTCAAGAATTTTGTCATGGGAAGTAAAGACCTCACTATTTTTTGTAATAACATCGTTTGGAATACAATATGGATCCGAAATCTAATCTGGACTCTCTGCCTCTCTCCCATGGCTTTTGCTACCCAAGGTGAAGGATAAAATAATACTACTTCAATCCATGTGCAGAAAATGATCATATTGTTCATCAGATCATATTTCCTAAAGGCAGCAAACTGGCTTTGGGATACAGTGTAGCTTTGACTATCCAATAATATCCTCTAAATCCTAGCAATTACTTTTTCCTCAATTGCCCTGCAGCTACTAACATGCAGAGGAACTGCTACCTCACTCTGCCTCTTTCTAGGATCAGTCTTAACACTTCTACCTAGCAAAGATCTTCACATCCAGGTCTTTGGCTTTAGGGTCAAAATCCACTCATTCTTCTGCCTGAAATGTTGCTAATGCAGCATTTCAAGTTTTAGCGAGGCCAAATAAGATATATTTCCCAGTACAACTGTTGTCTGAAATTTGAATCCCCAGTTTTAAATCCCAGAGCAGGATAAATATAGATGAAGCTTATATATATGTATGTATACATACTGTATATATATATATAAAAAACTGAGATGAAGTAGAAAAGCAGTCATATCTCTAACTGCATTAAAGAACAAGAATAATTGCATTAACTAAGATATTTTCATGAGGATATAACATGGCTTCAAAAGGGCTTCGCTTAGGCACATGATCATTTTTCTAGAGTAGGACTATCATTTACATGATGTTTCCAATTAAGAATTAAAGGCAGCAGAATCATCAAGAAATCTCAAAGACAGTGAGGAATTTAAACACCAATGATGATCCAAGACATCTCGTGCAGTACAAAAATGCTTCACATGATTGAAATGTGTTTTCTACAAAATAAATGATACAACTTATTAGGAACCCAGTGGTTAGAGAAATAGCAGCAAAAATTTGGGGGAAAGAATAAGACATAATGCATTTTAATGATTTCACTGGCATACCTACCTATAGTACATATCAATAGTAGGTTGACATTTTTGATTGGCACCCATTTTGCATAGTTTTTCAACCCAGTCAAAGCATAAATTACTGTGGCAAATTCTCAAATTCTAAAGCAATTATTTCCATAGGAGCAGGGCTTTTAGGAATCAAGAGTCAAGCTTGACTTAAAGAAGGCTTTACACTTAGAAAAAAATAGTCCTTGTTTGCCAGCTCTTTGCTTTTGAATTTAGCACTATGAAACAAATTTGCTAGATTTTAGACACCTTTTAAATGAATACAGATGGCAATATCCCATAGAGCAAGAAATCACAGTGGGCATTCAATAACATTGCCTTCTGACTCACTGTAATTCAAATACCCCATCCCTACTCCAGATATGTGAAAAACCTGTAAACCAGGTTTTACGGCTTCTTTTTTGAAGGTATTCATTCTGAAACATGTATTTTCAATTGGCGTTTTTTCCAGTTAATGACTGAATATCATGTTATTACACATACTGGTAGAAACAAATTTATTGTTAGATGAATAGGAATGCAGCACTTAGGGTGTGTCAGATGTGTCAACTTTCAATTTCCAAACATTAAGGGTGCTCAAAAGTTGTGACATGCCTTGGGGACTGTACAAATATTTTAGTTACTGTAATATAATTTAAATGTGCTTGGTAAGTAACTACATAAATATCATAACTTTTAAACATTTTGCTTGTTTCATTTGCAGCACGAAGCTTCGCATAATCCCTGACCTCCGGTCCTTCAGACGTGTCCTAAAAAGTTGGCTTTTCCAGCAAGCCTGCCTGGCCTGAACAGAATAAAATAAATGATTAATTTAATTGTTAATTTTAATCTAATTTTTAAATTTTTATTGTTAATATTAATTGGGTTTGTTTTTGGATACTTTATTTAGTTTCCTCTTTAACTTTTGTAATATGTGTTTGTTTTTTTTATGTTGTACACCGCCCTGAGTCCTTTGATAGAAGGGCGGCATATAAAG